CAGGGCTGAGCCAGACACGGGGCTCCATCTCAGGACCCCAAGACCACGACCTGAGCCAGAGTCAGACCCTCAACCTATGGAGCTACCCACGCATCCCAGGCCTCACTTTCTAACCGAATGAGAACGTGCTTACACTAGCAGCAATGCGGGCTGCCTTTACGGAGTGATGACCCTGAGCCAGGCGATGTCCTACATTCTTGTCGCACATTTCCTTTACTCTTCACAACAATCATGAAAGTGGAAAATGATGACGTCAGCTTTACAAAACGAAAAGACTGAGGCTCCGAGAGGGTGAGTGAGGCTCTCACAGAAACGGGGCCACCCCCGTTTCGGAGTCCTGGAGCCTGGAGGGCATCGGTTAGGCCACCCTGGCTCTCGGCAGGACGCCTCTCGTTGGAGCGGTGAGGGGCTCCATGCTCTTGACTGAGAACTATGCTGGGCAGAAAGCAGTGAGATAACCAGACGAGTGGGTGGGCGCCCTTCAGGCTCAGTGTGCCCCCACACCCAGCCACAGCAGCCTCAAGTGGGTCCTGAGGGTGAAAGCCCAGCGACAGGCAGCGAAAAAGCAGAAGCCGCCAGTAAGAAGGCCGACACCTGCTTTGACAGCCTCATAGGATAGCGCAAGAACCACTCGGAGAAAGCCCTCAGGGCCTTTTCCTGCTGAGTGGAAACACAGAAACGTCTCCTCACAATTTACAAAGAAGACAAACCAGTCTACTGCGAGCAGACATGCCCTTGAACCAAACGGGCATGGGTAGAGCAAGGCTGAGCAGATATGATCCCCACTCACCAGGAAGCTCCCTCTCCCAGTTATCCATTAATTAAATATCCACTTATTAAGGACGGACTGTTCTCTGGGCACCAGAGAAACAGCACTCAGAGAAGGAGCCATTTTCAGACTCCTGACTTTCTCATGAGCCCCTGGCCCATGACATGTGGGAGCCCCCCACCACCACCTCCTGCCCCATCAAACTCACTCAGTGCTCATCATGAAGCAGATAAAGAGCCCCCGCCCCTGGCCAATGGCACCAACATCTCTGCACCTAGGCTGGGACTGGGCTGTTTTCACAAGCTCCCTGGTGATTTTTGGGCACATTCCAGGTCGAGTCAGACCACTGGTTTAAGTTAACATTCAGCGACAACTCAGGTGACAAGTGGAAGGCCACTCAAGGCTCTAGAACACGAGACAGCAATCCCTAACCCAACTCCCAGAAATAACCTTTTAGTGAAGCAGTAGCCACCCAGGGTAAAAAGGAACAAAGAGCTCTCTGAACAAAGGTAACGTGCCATGGGGAAGAGGCAGGGTATGCGACGCTCACTGAACATGGGAGATTAGAAGAAAACCCAAGTGACAATCATTGCTTAAGTCCTCACTACATGTGCAAATATGTTTCTAATTCTTGTGCCAAGTTCTGATGTGATCAAGAAACCACCTGAGGGGCACCTGGGTGGCTCAGTGGATTGGGGCCTCTGCCTTCGGCTCAGGTCATGATCCCGGGGTCCTGGGATCGAGCCCCGCATCGGGCTCTCTGCTCAGCGGGGAGCCTGCTTCCCTTCCTCTCTCTCTGCCTACTTGTGATCGATGTCAAATAAATAAATAAAATCTTTTTTTAAAGATTTTATTTACTTATTTGACAGAGAGAGAGAGAGAGATCACAAGTAGGCAGAAAGACAGGCAGTGGGGGAGGGGTGCGGGGAGCAGGCTCCCTCCTGAGCAGAGAGCCCGATGCGGGGCTCAATCCCAGGATCCGGGGATCATGACCTGAGCTGAAGGCAGAGGCTTAACCCACTGAGCCACCCAGGCACCCCAAATAAATAAAATCTTTAAAAAAAAAGAAAGAAAGAAAGAAAGAGAGAGAGAGAGAGAGAGAAAGAAAGAAAGAAAGACAGACCGACCACATGATACCAATACTGCCGCTAGGCTCTTCCTCCAACTCCAGCAGCTGCAGGGCCATCAAGGGCTGGGATTCTAACTCTTTGTGTGAGGCAATGCCAGGAGGCCCACAATTTAGCCAACTGTTTAGAAGTTCAGTCTTGAGAGTAAGGGAGGTCTGGGTTTGTGTCCTGGTCTCATGGACTGGCAAATCACTGAACTTCCAAGAATCTCAGTATCTGCATTTCTAAAACCAGAATCATCACCATGAATGACACAAGGAATCATCATGTACCTTCTGATACAAGACCCCTGAGAAGGACACTTGTCATCTCTCTGGCAATTCACCCCAAAATGCAAAACCTGGGGGGAAAGCCCCAGAGAAACTGAAACTGAAGGACATCCCACAAAGCTGTCCTGTACTCTACAAAATTATCAAGGTCACAAAAGACAAAGAAAGACTAAGGAAATATTCCAGATCAATGGGAACCAAAGGGAAACGGCAATAAACATAATAATACATGATCCCAGAGGGAAAACACCTATAGGGAAATTACCTATAAAGGACATTACTGGGGCAAGTGACAATTCCTGATTATGGGCTACGGACGGACGCAGAGTTAGATGATAGTTTTGAACAAAGGTTCAATTTCCTCGCTTTTATAAAGAGAAGATGGTTATATAAAAGAGAATGATTTTCTTCTTAGGAAAGACACACTGAGTATTCAGGGGTAAAGGGGGGTGATGTCTCCAAATCACCCTTGGATGGTTCAGAAAAAAGATATATATTAAAGAGAGAGAAAACCATAAAGCATATGAAGCAAAACATTAATAATTAAAGAATCTGGATAAAAGGCAGTCAGAGGCTCTTTGCCGTTTCTCCATTTGAAATTGTATTGAAATAAAGTTACTCCTCAAAATTATCAGGCCATGAAATAACAGGGAAAGACTGAGAAGCTCTCAAGGGCTGGAAGAGACCGAGGAACCGTGACGACTATATTACAATGCGGCTGGCATTCCTGGATTAGATCCTGGAACAGAAAAAGACATTAGCGGAAAAACTGCTGACATCCCAATAAAGTTGGAAGTTTAGTTACCAGTCTCGTGCCATTGTTAATTTCTTAGTTTGGGGAAAGGAATCCTAAATGGATGATAATATGTATCTTAATATATTAAGACGTAAACATTAGGGAAAACTGACTGAAGGGTGTATGGAAATGCTCCATATAACCTTTGCAATTTTTCTGTAAATCTAAAATTGTTCTAAAATATAAAAGATAGTTTTTTTTAAAAAGTATCAAGACAGAACAAAAAACACAGAACAAAGGCCATCGCCAAAGGCAAGAACGGACACGGACTCCACAAACCCCGAAGAATGTCTATCAGGAGCTGCTGTCTTACAGCAGTGGTTCCCAAACCCCAGGGCCCCGGGCAGAATGAAAAGGAAGTAATTTACTAAACCGCTGACTGAGCATCTCTTGGCAGAGGGTCCCCAAGAACATTTACACAAGTGCCCCAGGTGATTCTGAGGAGGCTCGGACTCGAGCACCAAGTATCCAGCTCAGCACTTCCCAAACTTACCTACACACAGGATTTCCCGGGGATCTAGCTAACATGCAAATTCTGGGTCAGGAGGTATGGGGTAGGGTTTGAGACTCGGCATTTCCAGGGAGCTCCCAAGTAAAGCCCGAGCAACGGTCCTCAACCACACAGATGGAGAAGGCAAAGCAACAAGACAGAAGGGGTCTGGGCCCATGACACTGGGGCATCATGGCAGCCCAGAACTGCCCATGTGGGTAGGAGAGGCCAACTCCTCTTTGAAACTGTTGGCTCTGTTGGTTGTAGCCAAACTAATTCTAACTATATCGAGTCTGCACCAAGGAGTCCCAGACATATTTTAAAATTCAGCTCACACCCTCTCTCAAGCAGCACATGAAAAAGGACAAACATCTGTTAGCTGACACAAATGTGGATAAAACTCCCGGGTGGGCTTCTCTATCTGCGTGGGTTACTTCTAGAGCCTCACAAAAACTACCTCAGAGAGCAGTTAAAATGACCATGATGAGCTGGACTGATGACACCTTTTTTGACGACAATCCTAAAATTTTACCCTTTCTCACATCCACACTCAAGCTCAACTAATTCTGATGTGACCTTTATCATTTATTTTAATGAGTCTTTTGGACCCCGCACAATGCCATACAACTCTTGCCGTATTCTTCAGCCAGATAATAAAATCCAACTGGGGGCAAAAAAGTATAGATCATAATCATATAATAGTGCTGAGAGCATAAATAAGAAGTAGAGTTGCCATGGTACCCTAATTTTGAAAATGTCGAAAGCCATCTAGAATCCTATATTATTTGCTTTATGAAACCCAAAGTGTACATTAAGTCTCAACCTTTTATTTTTCTCCCTCTTAAATCATCTGCTCTGGAATGATATAAGTAACCTTCCTGAGATAATCTGTGATCAGATCCAATCAAAGACTGTCAAAATCCAAGCTGAAGGATGCCTTTAAAGGTAAGGCCATTTAAAACATCTTCTGGATATTTCTTCATTCAGTCAATATTTGGAACATTCATTATATGCCAGACAATACACTAGACACAGTGCACTTTATACTGACAAAATTATAATTGGCTGGGATGCGAGACTGAGTCCTTCTAGACTGAAATAATCACCTCATTAGTAGGCTGTTACTATAATCCGCTTGTTGGCTTCTGCAAAGATCGAAGGGAAAAGTGAGTCAAAAAATTAAGTTTTGTATTGCCTATAACAAAACAATCTGCCCATATTCATAAGCCCCTGCCAGGCAGGGCTAGGACGACCTTCACTGTGTCCACTGCCCAGAGCCCCAGCCACAGGCCCTGCCGCCTCTCACAGCCTCAGACACAAACCCTGTATTGACACAGTCCGAGTGCACGTTGAGCAAGTATAAAAACCCCATCCATCGCCGCTGTATGTGGTACAGAAATCAAACTACACTGCAACTATTATTGCACAGATTTTTCACCACAGCCAGACAGAGAAAGAGGGGGAAAAAAGAGCAATCCAAAGTCTGTGAAAATGCCAAAACAGAAAGAAGACTGAGAATCACCCCCACACTGCGGCGGGCATTACTGACCTGGTCGATTTCCATGAGTTTGGGATAGGCACCCGGCCATTCTATGGCCACCTTGACGATGTCCGCGGGCGGCGGCATGGTAAACCCCGAGGGTCCAAAGCCGGTAGAACCAGGATCCTACAGTGCAGATGGCCACACGTGTCTACACCTAATGAGGAATGACAAAAAGAAAGAAAAGTTGCTCGGTGCCGATGCAGGGTGAATTCTGCTTCATCACTTCCTGTTTTCACTGGCGGTTTTAGGTATGAGAAACGGCTCTGGGTGCAGAACTCACAGGGCACCAATTGCACTGCCAGCGGCCACTGAGGAGAGAAGACAGGGGAGGGGTAGGTGCCGATGGCCTGGAGCCCCCGCAGCCCCGAGACGCGGCCCCAGCGAGGGACAGCGTGTCCCTTACCCTGGGGCTGGGCTCCACGCGGTGCCCAGGGTCTGAATGAGCTGGGCTCACTCTGTCCAGAAACACACGGAAACTTCTCGCGCTCAGCAGTCTCCGGAAGAACAGATTGCCCAGGAAGTCATGGTCAGGAAACAGCGTTTCTTTAAAGTGTTTTCTGTGTGTCACAAATAGAGCTCCGCACTATAGCAACCAGGATATGGTGAGGAAGGAGAAATGCCCCAAGGTTCGCACACAGGCGCGCACACGCTCCCTCCTCAAGGCCAGTGCACCCAGACGCCTTGAGTGGGGGAAGCCAATTGACTGATGAGGTTGATGCCGCATTCAGAAGGGACCTTGAATTCTGGCTGGAATTAACAATGTTGCTTTCACAAAGGAAGGTAATCCACCGCCGCCTCTCCCAGATTAGCCCGTGTCTCTAGGATGACTTTTTTAACTTCATATTTTTGAACTGGTGAGACTTTTCATGTGATGCAAAACTTAAAGGTGTTTGTGAAAACAGAGCATAGAATCTCCCCTTGTAAAGTTACACACCTACCCCATGTCCACGGTCACCCGTTTCTCCAGCTATCCAGTTCTTGTGTGACCCTCCAGAATGGCTCCAAGTATATAAGGCAAATGCAAAAATATATTACAGTTCCCCCTCTCTTAATAAAAAAGAGGCGGCATTCCATACTTTTTTTTTCATTTTCCATATTTGTATATTAACACAAATAAGGCATCCTGGCTCCTTTTACAGCGGCAGAGCAGTTTTCTTTATGGAAGTATCCTATAGGATAAGCTAGTTCTCTATCGCCTGGCCCCTGAGGTGATTTCCTACTTTTGGCTATTATGAGGCTATCGTGAAGAGTCTTATGCACTCAGCATTTCGCTCATAAGCGGGTATGACAGATGCATAGACATGAAATTGGGGGGTCAAAAAACATATGCAGTTTTATTTTGTTTTTAAAGACTGCTTTACTGGGGGCGCCTGGGTGGCTCAGTCGTTAAGCGTCTGCCTTCAGCTCAGGTCATGATCCCAGGGTCCTGGGATTGAGCGAGCCCGGCACTGAGCCCTGCATTGAGTTCTGCATTGGGCTCCCTGCTCTGCAGAAAGCCTGCTTCTCCCTCTCCCACTCCCTGTGCTTGTGTTCCCTCTCTCGTGGTCTCTCTCTCTCTCTGTCAAATAAATAAATAAAATCTTTAAAAAAAAAAAAAAAAGACTGGTTTATTTATTTGAGGGGAGGGGCAGAGGGAGAGAGAATCTTAAGCCAGCTCTGGGCTCGATCTCACAACCCATGAGATCATGACCTGAGCCAAAACCAAGAGTCCACTGCTTAACTGACAGAGCCAAACAGGTGCTCCGAGCATATGCAACTGTGAATTTTGAAAGCCATTTCCAGACATCCCTCCACAGGCCCTGCACCAGTCTACGCTCCCGCCAGCAACAGATGAGGCTGCCTATTTACCCACAGCCTTACCACCAGACGGGAACATTTGTACCCCTAACAGATTGAAAAATATATCACATGTACTTTTAATGTGTATTTCTCTTATTCTCTTAAGTGAGGTTGAACATAAAGAGGCAAAGTCTCGTGTCCACGTTCCTGTGAACTGCCCAAATCTTTCATCCCTTTTCTTGGGTTTCTGGTCCTTTCCTTTCAGAAATTGATCTGTGTATAAAGATTCTGATCAAACACGTGCCTTTGGCTCTTTATCAGATCAGAGTAAGCCTCGTCAGTCATGATCCCCATCTCAGTGGCAGCTGGACATCACCGAGATGATGGGAGATAGCAGACTTACTAATGGCTACCTTACAACACGGGCAGTTATAGAAATAACGGACTCCACCGAGCTGACAAGTACCAGAAATGAACCCAAACAAAACTGCTGCTCCTTTTGCCAAGGATGATGAGGGAAGCCTGCTGTGAGGCTAATCAGTGCTAACCGGCAAAAGCAGATCTACAGAGCAGTGGTTCAGTCACTCATCCGACAAACAATTACTGAGCCCTACCTATTCTGTGCCAAGAGCTGGGGGTACAACAGCAAATCCAGTTGTTTATCGGCTCAAGGGATAGGGAGCAAAATGCAATAGGGAAGGGGCATCTGAAGCCTGGGAACATATCTGTGTGAGAGGGACAGAAGTACACTGGTAAATAGGGAAATCCGGGAAAGCTCCACAGAGAAGGCAGCATTCAAGAGGCTTGTGAGATGTGAGAATGTGAGCCAGGAGGACATCTGGAGAAATTATGTCAAAGGCCAAGGAAACAGCAAGGGCAAAGGCCCTGAGGCCTGGCATATTCCTGAAACAAGGAATTTGGAACCAAATAAGGGCAAAAGTAATTCTAATAGAAGCTGGGTCATAACTTGACTCCCTAGACAATCTTGGTTTATGACTCCTAAAGGAGAAAGTTCATGTCCATGTCCATCTATTGAGAATATAAATTGGAACAGCTTTCCAGAGGTACTTTTTGCAAACTGTACCAAAAGCCATGTAACTTCCTATTCTCTAAGTTATTTTACTTTTCTAGAATATTTCCTCAAGAAATAATTATTCAGTTAACTATAACAATGAAAACTGCTGTTTTGGTTATGATTCCCAAAACTTAGAAACAACTGAATATTCTACAACAAGAACCTGTTAAATAATTATGAAGTCTCATATATGTAAGTACAAGCAGACGATCAGTACTGGAGTCTTCCTCTTCATAGTGGGTACACTCTTTTACTCACTTGCGAATCCTACAGACAGTGTACTATGTCTATACCACATCACTTTAATTCAGGATCCAGATTAATTATATGCCCCAGAATAATAATTAAGAAAACAGGTTCTAATGTGAAAACAGACTGTGTAAAGATCAGGTAACCCTATTAAAAACAAAGAACACACAATCTTGAGGGTCAAGAGAATGGATAATGAAAATTAAAATGCATTTTGAGCACCTCCTTCCCCCTTCTACACAAAATAGTCTAGAATTACACTAAGAGGGGTCATCTAACCACCCAGGAATCACCAACCAAAGGTGCTTTTCTTCCCCTTTAACTGGTATTTATTTCTCAAAGACTGTTGAGACCAAGCCTGTTGAATAGGTGAGAATACAATGATGTGGCTCTCCCTGAGCCCCCGAGGAGAACAAGATAGCAGAGGTATACAAAGGAGTCATTGAGAAAGCCAAGAGGCTAGGGGGAGTCCCCTGGGAATTCACTTGACAAGTCCAATTAGTTGCCCACACTAACAAACAGCATGGACGGGCTCCTGAGGCGTAGAGTCAGGTGCACCATTGCAGAATGAATAATCCAGTCCACATGGTTATCCTCGGAAGTCCACATTTTATCCTCTTGAATTTATATTTGCATGAGGAACAGTTAAATCTAGCTCTTCAGAGCCACCAGCAATAAAACTGAGCCTAAAGCTGTCGAAATTGCCCAGTAAATAGAAGGCTCGTAAATTTATGTAAACAGCCTGATACAATCATTCTTATGCAAACTAAAATTTAAGACCCTCTAGAGGGAAGTCTATGCATCAGGCTAGACTAGACACTCCAACCCTTCTGTCTTCTAACTCTCAAGTCCCTGGAGGCAACTGGGAAATGGGTGGCGAATGCTACAACGTCCCTGCTTGCCTGCTGACTGATTGATTTTATTCCCATTTTAACAGGAAGATTCTACAACCTTAATATGCATGTCAAATGGCTAGTTTATAGTTGAGTGAACTTAATGAGAGTTGGAGGAATCACTTTTTCTTTGGGAGTTAGTTACCAAAGTCTGCATGTCATTTAGATGTGACTTCATAACCCTGGAGTGAGTAGGAATTTTCTTTATCATTCTGCTGAATGTCTCCTTCTTAGCTTTGGGCCACGTTTCCAAGACAACGGAGAGAAACCGTTCTTGATTCTATCTAGAAATCTGTCTCTAACACATTGTTCTTTGCCCAAAGTTCTATATGCTTCTGAGTTTGAAAGCTCACCTCACTGTAGTCTCTTAAAGATCTGTTACATCTCTACATGTTTTCCCATCTATTTGATTAGGTTTGGGGATGCATAACGTTCCCAAATACCTGATCTTCCCCTCCCCCCTCAATTTCCCATATTGTTTTCGCTTTCGGTCCCTGTAATGGCTTTAAACCCTTTTATCCTATTTCTAGACTTTCTGTTACACCAGCAAACTCTATTAAGGGGAGAGAGAGAAAAGCAGCCTGAGAGGACATTCCTATAGGAGCTGTGTAATGGAAAAATGAACATACTTGCCCTGGTGAACTGTGTGTCCCCACGATTACACTGACAGAGCCCAACAGATGGGCCAGTAGAAGCCAAAAGGCAGATCAATGGGAAAGGAACACCAAACAGCTGGATAAATGATTTGCTTTAACTCCTATGTCCCTTCCTTCCTCCCCAGGAAAACTGTCCTCTGCCTCACTGGCCATCATTATCCACTAGTGACAAATAATAGGTTTATAATGATTATGGGAACTTCTCCCCAAATATTAACATATTCCCTGAGGTGATGGAGGCCCCTCTCTGATGATGGTGGGCTACTGTGTTCCCCTAAAAATGATGAGGTCCTAATCCCCAGTAACTAAGAATATGACTGTATTTGGAGATAAGGTCTTTAAAGAGGTAATTAAATTAAAATAAGGTCATTAGCAAAGGCTGGATTCCTGACTGCCCTTATAAGAGGAAATCTGGACATGACAGGTACAGAGGGACAATCATCTGAGGATACAGTGAGAAGACAACTGTCTGCAAGCAAAGGAGAGAGGCTTCAGAAGGAAC